GTGAAACAAACTAAACAATGTTTTACCACTAGATTACATCTTGTTTTTAGCTAAAGGTGAGTTTTGGTCCAGAAGAAGTGAAATGTTAATTTACTTTTACAAAGAAGTAAAAGTGCAGAAGTCGAAAAGCCTTGGACTTATGCCATAGATAAAGTTCATGTGTTTGAAGGTTGCAGCTGCCGCACTTTAATTAGTTTCTAAATGTGTTCATTTGCCAATGTTTTCTTTGATTTTATCACTGCTGATATGGATTCATAATATTATTATTTCTTGCTTGGTTTCTGTAAGAATGTATCCTCAGTTTTTGTGATATATAACTGTATTCTTCTTGCCAGGCAAAGTACAGGTAGACTCCATCAGGTATCAGTATAAGCTTTGAGATTCCCTTTTGTCAAAAAACAGACTTTTTTCACAGAAGACGTATCATAGCAGGAAAAGCACAGTTAAAACAAATTTTGTCAGTGAGTGCTCAGTAACATCTAGAGTCCCAGTGAGTTGGGACAGTGATGAAGCTTCCACAACAGCAGCAGCCTTGAGGTAACTCACCTGTTCTTGTCTTGCTATGACAAGCCAAAAAGTCTGCCATAAAAAAGCTCTGTTGCCGAGATGGAGGTGTCCTGGCCAAAATTATTCCTTTGGGTAAAGTGCTTATTTAATAACAAAGTGTTTAGTCAAAAAAACTTTATTCTACGTGAAAAAAAATAAACTGTTTGCACCAGATTCTGCAAAAGCTAAAAATTCTGACTACCAGTGACCTAACTGCAACCAATAGTCGTGCTTGTTTACACGAAGCAGAGAGGAGACAAGTATGGGAATAAATTAAAATCTATTTTTGTTCATTTAATGGTTTTTCATTTTTTGTAAACTAAATAATCAAATAAATGCTGCTTTGTTTGTTTTTTACTTTATGATTCACGGTATTACAATTTTGTTGTACTGCACAGAAGTTCCTCTACTTGTAAACACTGTTGTGCTGTTTTCACAGAGGTGCAGGACTTTATATTGCAATAAAAATGAGCCCACACTGAGTTCGATTTTTTTGGAGGGAAAATACCCAGAAGCTGCTTGGGATTCAGAAATTTAAAAGGGGATGAGAAACTTGAAACCATAGATATACTAGCTTCTTGCTGAAGGTTCCCTCAAGCTGTTAAAGAATGTACTGCTGAGTGGCTACAGTCAGGGAGAGTGTAAAACAAAGTGGAGAAACAAAAACCCAAAGTTTCTATGAAGCAAGTATGATTGTCTCTAACATTCAGTCCTGCTGTGTTTCTTTTTACTAACATAAATCGAAAGCTCTTTACAAGAGCCAATAAAGAAATGTTTGCCTCGTGTAAGAAAAAAAAAATGGTCTAAAGGTGAAAACTGAGAATCTGCAGGACTAATGTGAGAGGTGGAGGATCAGTCACTCAAAGTCAAAGTATCATGAAATCAAACCTTCTTCCAAGCACAAGCACTGTGGATGGGGTACTTGATTGTGGCTGCAAGGGCAACTACAGTTTCATAAAGGCAATACAACCTCTAGCCTTTACTGAGTGGCTTTTGACAAGCAGGCTGAAAGCTGTCAGAGGTCGACCACAGGACCTGTATTATGAGGAATATGAATCTGATTCATTGGTTGACATTTGTGAATTAAATGTAAGTTTTACAGGTCTGGCAATCCAACACAGTTGATTTTCTCTATGTTGGCTGTTTAGATCTCCTCTCATGTTAATGCTGGCTGGAGTTCATCTGAAATATTGTTGTCAAAAATGAAACAAGCCGTTACAGGATGGATTTGGGGCAAGCTATTATTGATCCAGCTCACTTTTTCTTTACATGTAATTATAAAAAAAAAAGTTGTATTATGCTACCACATGGTAACGCTGGGCAACAAGCCGAAAAATGTACTATGACAAAATGTTTAATTTAGACTTAGACTGACTTTATTAATCCCAGAGGGAAATTCAGCACGGATATTCAACAAAGGGGGTAAACAAACCAAAACGACAACACAGAATATTAGGGTAGGGTATAAAATTAAGGTTTAAATAAAGTACAATAAAATAAGATAAAAATATTGAAAATATAATATAGAAGAATTTCAGCTGATAATAATAATTATAGCTAATTTTTTGTATACTTATTTTTAGTCAAGACTATCAGAAAGAAGGTTTATTTAGAATTTCATGATCTTACATTGAATTTAGCCCCTTTATTTATCAAGACACATTCATCATAATGTTAACATACCAATGAGCTGTGTTTTTTCTGATTGGTAGCAATATGCTATGTAAACACAGCACATGGATATACACAAGGACAATACTTCTGCAGAACATAATAGAATAAGCTGTAACTATATCTGACTCATACTGTAAACACAGAAGTCAGTGTTCTGTTCGGCCCTTTTCTCTCTTTTCCGCATTGCAGTAATTTTGGTAAAAGTCAACATTTATTAGTTCCAACTGCAGCCTGATCAGCTCCAATTCAGTTTCCATTGTTTGAAGTACATTTTGGCTGTAATTACAGGCACACCAGTGCACAAATATAAATGATTACAAGAACATAGGCCACTTGTGTAGGCTACATCGAAGAGAAAATGACCCTACTTCTCACTTGATCTGTTACCACAATATACATTTTTTCTAATGACTTTGTTTTTCATTGCAAGTTTCAAGTCTCCTTCAATACAGCAGGATGTTCACTGTATAAATTATGGTCCCATAATGAGTAACATGCGTTCATAGTGTCCCCAGGTTCTCAGTCAGATCCACCACTTGCTCATCACGCCAGTTTCAAAAGACAAGGATGCCCCAGATTCAAACTCAAGGCGACAAAAGGGCAAAGTGGCAGTCCACAAACTAATAATTGATGTCACGGTGACTACATTCATCTTATATTCAGCTTATGATTGATATTAAATATAAGAAATATTCTGCATAGTATGACTTTATCTGTCTTCTTATAGTTTTGTGTGAAGCACTTTGAATTGCTTCGGGTACGAATTGTGCTATACAAATAAACCTGCCTTGCCTTGCCTTGCCTATTATAAAATGTGCCTAGACTGTGTGGGAAAAAAATCATATGTGCTTTTATGCAAGCCAGGCCTTCGCTCCTCTGTCAAAGTTAAGTAGCCAGAGTTCAGACATGGATTTCATTAAGATACGAACGAGCATAGACCAAGTCATAGAAAAGTACTCTCTAAGTATCAGCTAAATAGTAGCATACAAGAGAAATCCCTAAAAGACCTTCAAACCACAAATGGAAAATATAGCCATGAAACTTCAGCCCACACAGGCATATTCCAGCTATCACCTAATTATCAATTATTAGCAACAAACCAAGCATAAGACTACAAGGAATGACCTCAACAGCTCATGAACTTTACTTTTGAGTAGTGCCAAAGCATACAAATTCAAAGTGCTTCACAAGCAGCTAACAGCATATTACCTGTTAGTCTGAGGAAGCTATATGCTTGTAATTAATGGTTGTCATAAATTAAATGTGACTTGCTTCCTCAAGCGAGGGAGTTTAAGTATCTTGGGATCTTGTTCACGAGTGATGGGAGAATGGAGTGTGAGGTGGACAGGTGGCTCAGTGCAGCATCAGGAGTAATGCGGGCGCTGTACTGGACCGTTGTGGGGAAGAGAGAGCTGAGGCGCAAGGTGCATTTAAATCCTATCGAAAGAGCGAGATCGTGGATACAAGCGGCCTAAATAAGTCTCCTCCTCAGGGTGGCTGGGCTCAGCCTTAGAGATAGGGTGAGGAGCTCGGACATCTGGAGGGAGCTCAGAGTAGAGCTGCTGCTCCTTTGTGTCGAAAGGAGCCAGCTGAGGTGGTATGGACATCTGGTTCGGATGCCTCTAGAGAGGCTTCCTCTGGAGGTCTTCCGAACACGTCCACCTGGAAGGAGACCCCGGGGAAGACCCAGAATCCGCTGGAGGGATTATATCTCTCAGCTGGCCTGGGAACGCCTCGGGATCCCCCAGGAAGAGCCGGAAAGCATCGCCGGGGGGAGGGAGGTCTGGAATGACCTGCTTCCTCTCCTGCCCCCGTGACTCGACCCCAGATAAGCGGACGAAAATGGATGGATGGATGAATGGATGTACTCATAATATATCCATGCCTCTGGGTGTATTATGCTGTATTTAACAGTATTGTATGCAATGTATATGCTTTTTAAAGACTGTACGTATCTTGCTATGATCATTTTTTTTATGCCTAACAGCATCAGGCAAAGAGACTGCCACTAAAAATGTGGCTTTTAACTAACTCAGGCTACCTTCTGTTCAAAAAAACGCCAATCAAACAATCAAACAAATAGAAAAATATGGTAAGTTACGACAATATCCACAAAAGAACTTCAAAGGGACATAGACTACAAATGGACACAAACAGAACCAAAATGACCAGATAGGGATACAAACTGATTACGAAGACACACACCAATTTAAAAAAAATAAACGTGAAAATTACCATCCTAACAAACTCAACAAAACAATTGCAAAGAGACACAACACGATACAAAGCGAGACAAAACGTCACTCAGACACAGCAAACGACTACAAAAATCAATAAAAAACTATAAAGAGAGGCAAACAACTACTAAGAGAGTCAAAAAGAGAGTCAGAAGGAGATACATGACAAAGAGACAGGAACCAATTCAAAAACAAACACAAATAAATGCAAAAAACTGGAAAGCAGCAAAAGAGGCCATGTGGTATGCCAAGGAGAAACTGCTCATCTTTTGCCATGTTTAGTGCCTATTTACATTTTAATTACCACATTCATAAAAATGAGCACTGATGCATAAAAGCAAACTGTTTAATCTTTTTTTTCTTGCTGTTTATTTGGTTTATGTGATCTTTTCTTTCACCAGTTCTCAAATTCATACTGATCGCCAAAATGTTTAACCCCTTGGACTGAGTACTTATTATTGAATACTATCCAATGCCACTTAAAAAAGTCTCAACAATAGATTTAAATAGTGAAAGTATAGTTAACCACAGGCAAATGCAACGTTTCTAACATCAAACAGTGCTTTATTTACTCAGTAGTAAACTATATTGAAACCTTTTTGGCATTTCATAGATTTTCAGACATCGCTTCCAGAAAATGACACAGCAGCAGCCACTGAGAAGAGAGCCAAGACTTCTTTGAGCTCGATAGTGCCGTTAGTTTATAGTTACAGGCGAACAGCAAATACATACAAAGACTTTACACTGGAGCGAGATCAACAGAAACAATACTTTAGGCAATATATTAATATATTCACATAGAACACTGCTGCATGCTGTGGCTGTTGATTTACAGTATGTACCTGGAAGAAAGAAAGGACAGAGTAGATACGATCACAGTTTGTCATGGAGAGAGTCTGTTCAGACACGCGTACACACACAGTACATGATAACAGATTGCTACACTTGCAACGAGTTCATTTATGTCCATTTAATCAGACCCTAGCTTCTTAAGCGCTTCATTATTTTGTCACTGTTGGCAAAGTTACCCAACGTGAGACCACTTACCTACACTCTGATGAAGGAAAGGTGGCCACAAACTTTTGGTGAGAAGAGCACGAAGTAACGGAGAAGAGCTGTTTTGATTTTGACAACATTTTTTGTGTGTTCTCAAAAAGACCCAAACCAATGAGTGATTTATTTAAACATTGTGTGCAGCCACAGTGTCATATTGTTCGACTAAAGTCACCCCAAAACCACATAAGAGAGCCACTCTGTTGCTTTACAGTGATATGAAGACACTGATAGATTGTAGAAAGTAGTTGCACTGTTAGAGTTGAAGAAAGTTGTTCCTAATTTCAACAATATCCTCTTTAATGAAGAGACACAAGTAATAGATCTTATTTATTGTAAATGAGCTATAAGGAGGAGGTTGGGTTGGTGGTGTCAAACGGCGTGAAGAAGTGAACTAGTGGTTGTTGGTGTTGGGTTAAAGTTTATTAAACTCAGTGCAAGGATGCAGTCACACTAGTATTTTAACTGTGAAATTTTAGCCTGAAATCAAATATGTTTGTTTAATAAGTTTGATTTGGTGAAATTTCTTTGATGCTTTTGTGCAGAATTTCATTTTGGTTAACTCTGATATGCACTTTTTTTTTTTGCTATCTTTAACCTCTGACGAGGTTATTGAGGTCTTTGAGGCAACAAAAGAATTTTCCTGTTCCGTGTTTCTGGTGTGACCTGGCACTGAGCCTTGATCGACATGTGGGTCCATCTGTGATAGAAAAACTAAACTTCTCTGACAGGGAATTTGGAATTTGGAAGGAATTTGTCTCTTTCATATGATTTGGACCACAGAATGACAGAAGCTAGTATATTAGACTGATGCCATACAGACTATATATTCCCAGCAAGAGTTTGTTGACAAAAATAAGAATCTAAAATAATGCCGGCAATATCTTCTAACTCTAATCGTTAAGCTTCTAATCTTTGATTTAGTGAAAATGTGAGAACAATAAAACAATACCTGAATTTTTTTCATTTTTCGTGCTGATTGAAAAATGTGGTCCTTGTAAGTATAGAAACACACACATGCCTGCACATGCATCCACACTCAGAAATGACTTTTTGACAGTTGTGTGTGTCCTCTGCTCCCTCCGCTTACATCGCACCAGTTGTCCCAGTAGGGCAGGACTCAGCTCACACTAAATGCTCCCTTTATTAAGTTCATAGGCCTGGCTCGAGCACTGCACAGTGGGACGGTGTGTGTGCATGTGTGTGTTCAGCGAGCTGAAGAGCAGTTGTCGTTGACAGCTGCATGAGAGCACAGAGAGAAAAAGTCAAGTGGCTTCAAATAGCCGTCGTTCTCCTCATTCATCAGAGAGACCCCTCCTCTCTCTCTCTCTCTCTCTTTCAGCAGCCCCTGGTGTGAAGTTTACATTTCTTCGGTTGACACAGTCATGGAGATGTTTTTGAAATCTCTGCTTTCACCACAAAAATACTGTTTCATGAAATGTCCAAAGCAAAGAGTTGGGTCCACTCTGCAGTGAAGTGTAGAGGTGTGCTCATGGTGCTGCTGTTGTAGGAATATTCAGCCTTTAGTGCATCAGCAGGAGATGAGAGGTTCTGGTTATTGGCCCATCAGACAGTTTGACAGAAAATATTCTATGCAGTCACAAAAAATGCTTTCAACCTCCTACATCAGTTTTCCAGCCACATGCCTTATCTAATGTATGACTATTGGAACTTTATGGAGCTTTGTCTGTAACATCAGTTATCTTTGTTGAATATAGTTAATTATAGATTGAAGCAGTTGTCAATATTTTTGCAGCAAGCATTGATTTGGTGATTTATACATCAAAAATATATGCGTCATTAATGAGAATGTGGCAGAGAAATGAAAAGGTCTGCATCACATATTGTTTAAATCAGAGCTGATGACGTCCATTCTGATCATTAGTGATTAATCTCTTTTTTAAATGAACAGCATAAAGTTGGTGTTTCTGGGGGACGATTGTTGATCTGTAGTTAGTTAGCATTAGGCATGCAGATTTAAACCAATCTTCGTAACTGATAGTCGAATAGATCGCATTCCTCACTAAAGCTGATTTGTTTCATTCTCCACTCAGCTGCAGAACTGCTGCTCTAGTGGACTCCAGCCCTTTAAGTTCTGGCTGGACTCTATAAACCACCACAGAAGTGTTTGTCATGGTGCCTGTTGCTGGTGAACCCCTCACAGTGTTCTCTGATTGTAAACATGGAACTGCACATCGAAGGGCAATTAATAACTGAGATTTAATCGATTAACGATTCCTCATTATCCCAAGCTAGCATATTGAGATAGTGACCATGTGGCAGATTTACCATCCCTCTTGCTCTCTCTGCCAAATCTCCCTCCTGCTCCCCTCCCCCTCCTTTTACCAGTAGTACGAGCATAAACCTGCACAGGACACGACAGAATAGTGTTTAGAGGATCATCTGATGTCTGAGTCAGGTCTGTGTACAAATGCCACAAACCGAACAGACAGCTAGCGGACAGGGGAGAGATATTTCCTAATTCCACAATTACCAGATTAGAATCGCATACTCTCCCTTTGAGAGGCTGGGAAAACTTTGTCTATCACAAGAAAAGCAGTCACTTGTATAGTATAATCGGTATAGATCAGTTAATCAGTAACCGAGGGTTTCAAAGCTTTAATTCATTTATGAAATGCAGTTTAGCTCTTTAAATCACCAAATCCATGCGTACTGAGATGTGAATGCAGCACCCAAATGCAAACTGTGTTCCTATCCTGTACTGCTTAATAGTACACAGTGTGTGCTATATATTATTTGTAATACAATACAGGAAGTGAATGTGCTTTTCTGTTTCATACCAGAAATATATCCGTCAAAATATGACTTCAAAGAGAGAAAATAAGATGTTTTCTGAAGATGTGTTTTTCTTTGTTCTAGTGCGTGGCCACCATCCAAATTGTGCTTTGTGCAGTGCTCTGTAGGACCATGGTTTACATCAATGACACCGGCAGAAACACTCAGAAAGAGGATTTAGTATGAGCATGCTTTATGTCGTGACATGTAACGTCCCACGTGAAACCAGTCTCGATTCCTCCATAGAATCAGTATGTGGGATACAATAAGGGCACAGATAAGGTTTGTAGTTGGAATCATGGCTTAAATATGTATTGATATGAGTTCAGATCCATCCAAAGCTGTTCATTTAATTTGTGCTGTGCCGTGTTGTCCAGTTGGAACATTACTCCTTGTAAAACAAAGTGTCTGGACTCCTCGTGCCTTCGTCTTCTGCCAAATTCTTGCTGTGCGGCCTCCTGAACAGCCACAGCGCCTTCCCTCCAGCCATAACACACTCCCAGTGTCTGAGTCCAGTTGCCCAACTGAGGCAAGTCCTGCCAAGTCCTTCAAGCGCATGTCTTTGGAGTCCGGCAACACATGTGTCTCTGTCCGTCTGTCCCCAGACTTTTTCCGGTTTAGGAATGTTGTCCCTGCCTGTTACAGAAGCACAAAGAGTCTTGTCTTTGTCCAGATCCATCAGGATCAGATTCTCTCTCTCTCTCTCTTCTCTGCGAGTCCACTTTTGTTTCCACACTCGCTTTGTATCCACACTGTCGGCGTTCAGCTCAGCAGGGCTGCGCTGCTGCTGCACAGTCCGCCGTAACACAGAGCTGTAAGTAGACCAGAAGCCATTACAGAAAAAAAAAAAACAACAACTAAAAACTGCTGTCTCACCGATTTTTTTGCCACTCAGTTTCTCTGTCAGTCATCCCATAACAGCAGCAGAGCAACAGAGTACAACAGGAGTGGAGGAAAGAGGCTACAGCTGAAGGAGGAGAGAAGGAGGGGAGGGGGGAGAGTCTCAGCGGTCTTTAAAACCAATACAAATCCTTGCTCTTATCCTGTGCCTGCAGACCTGAGAGAGGAGGAGAGGAAGGAGGAAAAGAAAGGAAAAGAAAGGGAAGGAAGAGGCAACAGAGAGGAGATTAGAAAAAGAAGCGCAAATGCCTTGTTGATAAAAAGCAGGAGGAACTGCCTGAGGCAGAGAGGGGATGAAAGCAAGACAGCAACAGAAAAGGAAGTTGACAGCTGGTGGTAAGGTGCTGATTGACAGACGGTTTGTTGCTTCAAACCACTTGTGTAAGTTGATCTGAGGCAGAGCAACAGATCTTCATTTAATTCTAGTTTTTATACTTTGTCACCAAAGCTGCTTTTACTCAATCAGATAGTGAGAGAAGTGTTGAAAGAGAATGTTTTAATCACAACCAAACGCTACTGCAGCTCATTTATTAACTCATTGTGCTTTTTGACAGCCCAAGTTCAACATCGAGCAGGAAAGGTTTCGTGTGTCAATATGGAGTGGAGAAAATCCATTAAAAAGTTCTTATCAATGTCAGTGTGAATGTCACTATTTCACAGGTGGTTTTCATCAGCTCAAAGTCAAACTGCATGATCACATCTGTGACGGAAAATTTGCTTTATTTTGTTTAAATTAACAGCCCCATTACAAGTTAACCTTGTACTTTGTTAACACACAAATTCTCTTCAGCGTTTCATTCTTCTCAGTCACAAGTTTTTTTTCAGCACCTAGACTCCGTACTGTGAGTATTCATCGGTACATCTGTTCTCTGTGGTATTTACCAAAGCCAGCGACGGTCAGTCTAACAAGAGGCATGGAATAGAACATTTCCACTGATCTAGTCTGCTATTTATCCTCACTTCGTTTTGTTGTTTTAGATTTCCAAGAAGAAGAAAAAAATAGATGTTTTTGTTTCAAATATGTTTCACAGTCGATATGTGTATTTACAGTTGAAGTCAGTGCTGTCTGTGTCTGAGTGGAACTCTTCGCATCTGATTGAATAAATAATCTACAAGAATAGCTGCCTGCATTATATTAACCTGCTGTAACAAACTCCTCAGTGTAAACCTTAAATAACTGCAAGAAAGCAGAGTAGCTACATCAGTTTACAACTAAGACAAACTCATCAACAAGGAAACTTTATTCTTCATTATTTATATATTATTTATTAAAACCCTTATCAAAACCCTTTAAAACACAGAAAAGTCAGCTGGACAAGGCTTACAGTCTGTGCAGCATGTATTAGCATCTTAGGCAATCAACATTTTATAGCCTCGTAACGGTAAAACTATCAAGTGTTTACCAGAAAGAAGAACAACTATAATTGGAGCGCTGTCCATAAATTATCCAGGATTTTATGAAGCAAAATGTACAAGTTCTCTCACAAAGCCTTTGTTGAGAACCATTATCAAAGACCAAGCTGTTGTTGTTCAAAAATCGTATTTTAGATTCTGATTAGAAGTGGCTGAGGGCTTGTTGGCCCTCTTTGCTCTGCAGAACCACAGGATTCTTAAGTGTTAGAGCAGGTTTCTGTCAATCAACCCCTGACCAATTATATTAACAAGAAGCATACAAGCTGCCAACGAAGAAACTGTTCAGACCAAACTCTGTGGTGTTTGATTAGAAGGAAAATCTGTCAGTTCTTGGCTCCCAGTGTCGTGACTAAAACCTTCTTTTATGGGTTTGATTGATGACAGATGATGCTGTTCTGTTCTGTCCATACATTCTGCTGCAGTTTTACATCTGCTGCCCTTCAGGAGGATGGATTCCTCTCCTGTCAGGCGTCCTAAGGTTTCTCCTCTGATCCCTGCCCTTTAGGGTTTTTGAGGGGTTATTTGTTAAGATGTCGTGTGATAAACTGACTTGTAAAACTGACAGTACCTGCGTCCATGTTGAGTCCAATCTCTGCTCCAGCTCCGGTGAAGGCGCCGCTCCAGGCCGACCCCGTCCCAGACTCTCCCTTCCCCCCGAGGTCGCAGGGCGAAGCGCTGGGCCCCGGCACCGAGCTGCCGGACGTCAGCCGATGGTGCGACCTCACCGACGGGACCAGCAGCGAGCCGTACCGCGGGTCAAACGCCGAGCCGTACATCTCGTGAACGCCAGGACGTGGGTAGGCGGAGCTCTGGGTGCTAATAGCGCTGCCTAATGAGTAAGGGTGGTGGTGGTGATGGTGGTGGTGGTGGGACGGGTGCCAGGCGTCGGGGCTGGGCTGGTGGAGGTGGCTGTGCAGGGAGGCGGAGGAGTAAGGGTCCCCTGAGAAGGAGAGCTCTGTGTGGGGAGCAGACAGAGCGCTGCCCAGCGTGGAGGAGACCGACGGCTGGTAGGAGCTGTTCCAGAAGGACGGAGGGAAACTTCTCTGGCTCATAGGAAATGATCCGTCTGAGGAGACACAAATCAACATTTTCTAAACAACCATATTTACTACATGAAATAGAATCCAGAGAATGTAAAGAAAGTCAGCAAATGAACATTACAGTTTTAAAACTTGTGGCTGAAGTTTCATTCTTAAACCCAGAAGGACAGTTTGTGAAGGAGTTTTTTTTTAACAAGGATTTCATATAGATCTGATCCTCTTTAAATATGTACTTAATTATCTTGCAGGATTAATTAGAGTTGAACTGAATCACCAACTGAGAAATGTATTGACAACTTTAATTTGAGTCACTTTTCAATGCAAAAAATGACAAATATTCTCTCTCAAATTTAACTATTTGCTGCTTTTCTCTGTTTAACATCAGTGTAAATTGAATATCTCATTTGATAAGAATGTACATGTGATGGATATTTCTCTCAGCTGGACAGTATATGAACAAATAATAATAATAATTTGCATCTGATTCACCAAAGAGTTTAATAATAATAATAATAATAACAATGAAAGAGGGAATCCTTCTGTATGAGTTTTTATCTTCTATCCAGCTCTATGTTCGCACAAATGACTAAGTTTTTATGTTAATTTCAACATCCTGTTAATTCTGCCAATGACGAATCATGTAATATAATATAAATTCAGCATGTAATGTGACTCTAAAAGAAGTTCTCTAAAAAAAAAAGTCTGTTTGAAAGAAGAGATGTCTTTAAAAAGAATATGAAAAATGAAAAAACAAAATCTGCGAAATTCTATAAAATCTTTAAAATAAAAATGTTAAACATGCTTCATATGTTTGTTTTTTTAAATACACAATGCTCAAAATGATTACATAAAATGCACAACAAAAATGATTTTTTAAAAACCCATATCTTCCATATCTTTAATCCAGGCATCCCTATTGTAACATGAATTCAAATCACTCCAGATAAAGTGACTTGCCCAACAATTTGAATTTCTCCCCATATTGTTATAGCATTTGTCTTGTTATCATTTTTTCAGTCTGACTTTAGATTTCTGTCAAAAACAAGGCCAGCATAAACAACAAACTCCACTCTCTGCTTGTTTTCTGTTGGTGAAATATAAAATTGATCATCAAGATAAAACTGTTTTCTTCTAAAACAGTGACGGAGACACACATTTACAACATGCAAGACTAAAACATTCTCCAGCTAATGTCAAACGTATAAGCAAACCCACATGTTGAGGAAAATTTGCAATAGAATGTTGTCATATTATTTCTTGTTGATTGATTGTGACAACTGTCATTAAAAGGAAACGTTTGACCCCCACATTGTTGTTTCTTTTCTTCTATGAAAACTGATTGAATTTATTCTTCACAGGAAAACACTGAAATAAAAGACACTGAACGGCAGCGCAAAACAGCAAAAAAAATCAGTGGCTTCAGTCTGAATTCAATCAAACAAACCAGTGACGGAGAAAAGCTGCATCAAAACCTGCAGATTTTATTTGTCACATCTGCACTTTTGACTGAAACGAGTGATTTAAACTATTGCAGGTTGTAGCAATTTAATAAATGCTCTTTTTGTACCTTTTTAATATTTAATCAGCAGGTTCAATATTTTAGACAAAGTTTTAAAAAAAAATAGGAAGCCAGAAGCAAATTTATATACATTTAAAAACAAAAGATTAAACTGGAGAAATGTAGCATCCTATGATGATTTTAAAAAAGGAGAAAAAAAGCTGTTTCTAGAAATTGACACACACACACACACACACACACACACAAGGACACACACACCTCTTACGGCCTTGTGGCTGCTCGAGGAGGGGTATGCTGTCGTCTGGCTCAGGGCTCGGCTGAAATGTTCGTCCACCACCGTGCTGATGTCGCCCTGGAAGTAGGTGAAGAGGACGCAGCGGGAGCTCAGGTACTCGGCACCCGGCGGCAGCTCCTTGTCCTCCTCTTTGATGGACGGGGGCCCCGGGGGGCCGAGCCGGCTGCCGCTCTCCTGGGGGTCTTGCATTTTGGAATACAAGGCCAGCTTCTAAAAAGGACACAGATTTATATAAGTGTGCCGCGAACGGTGTTTACATGCTGTTAGTTTGGATGCATTTTTGTCTCGACTTAAAACAAGACGTGACATCTGACCTCTTAGCCTCGTAAAAATTACATTTCTGGATTTTGGTGCAACAGGTGTGTAGTGGGAGTTAAATCCACTCAAACGCCTATGATTAAACATTTACTGAAGGGTGTGTCTTTTATTTGAAATCTAAAAAAACAATAATGCTTTACTGTAGGTTTAATTTATTGGTTGGTGACTTTGGATATCACCACTTACACACAATATTTCACCTGGTGATCACAACATAATTTGCAGCACGGAGATATATGAACATGTCGAGAGGTGAGGTCATTTTTAAGCACAACAACTTTGCACTGGTCTCTCTTACTGCTGCACACAGTGACAGAAAAACCCGCTAACCTTTACACTGCTTCTTCACTCTTACTTTCTTCAACTTGCAAATTTAAGTGTGTACATTTTTGTGCTAAAATGACACCCATATGCTTCAAATAAAATGTAACTTTTAAAAAATAATTATCATATGTCTAAATAAACCACACAAAACAGCTTCTTATAAAGAGAGAAAATGTGTAATAACGTGGAGAGCAGCTTGAGCAGGCTGATCCGAGGCTGTTTGGGTGACAGACAAAGTGAGTTTTGGCACTATGTGAAATATGCCTGGATGTTGACTGAGAGGTTTTAAGAGAGTGAAAAAAGCCCTTTAACAGGTCTGGAAAGGCCTCACGAAAAGCTGCTGCACTGCCGCTCCTGACACTCACAGGCTGGAAGTCCACTGACAGACACAATACAAAAAAAATCATATGAATAGATATATGATGCTCATTATTTGTCAAGTAATGTGATTATTATCCTGGAAAAAAAAATATGAACTGGTGAAACATTCTGAGCAGTTAATTCCAAAACTTTGGGTTCAGTTCAACAATAAGCAATTAGAGAAGGAGATAGAACTTTAATAGATTGTTATTAAATTATAACTTTTGCTATTTTAATAATTATGGACACAAACCATCTAAAAAAAATACATACATAGAAGTGATATTAAAACGTTACTAAAGTATTGGATAACACGGATTACATCATTTTTTCTTTATTAAATCTCATGAAAACAACACTAAACATATTTAATTTTGTTTTAGGCTGTTCCTGATTTTGACCACATTTGCCAAAAGAAATGACAAACTCTGTCCAGCGTCTCCTAAAGCAGAAGATTCTTGTCTAATTTGGACAAACTGGGTAATATTGTCATAAATTCAAACGGCGCATGAAAAAGTTTTACATGTTAACCTTTGGAGTTTGAGCCTTTCTGAAAGTATCGCATAAATACTATTCATACAGTCCGTGACTTGCGTTTTATTGCCTTTTAAGCGCAGATTAACAGGTTGTTTCACATATTTTTAGATATAAAGAGGACATTAACTGGTGTTAAGGGCTTTATAAATATATTATTACTATCAGTTAATGGGCAGTAGTAGCCGCTTTTTCTCTTGTATTAACTCGTATTTAAGTTGTAATTGGCGGGTCAGAGGACTTTCAATAAAGTTTTTTTTGTATATCCACACAGATCTGGAGCCCACAGCGCAGAGCAAAGTGCTGTCCGAGCTGATAGAAACAGTTGGTGAACACATGACCCGTACCTGGTGGTGATAGGGGCTGTAGGAGCTGAAATAAGGCTGAGGACCAAACACTTGGTACATCACATCCAGGCAGCTCATGGCGAAGAAATCACGAAGAAGAACCAAGCTTCATTGAGAGAGCAGCTCTGTCCGGACGGAGAGGAAACAGTAATCCCGGCGGCGAGAGGACGCACACTTGGAGAGGACTCTCCGCTCTGCGCTCTTTACGCACTGGACTGTCGGCCGGGCTCAGTGGAGGGATCCCCCTCCAGCCTCACCCTCCTCCTCCTCCTCCTCCTCCTCCCTCCTCCACACACCCAGCGTGACGCCTCCCTCCCACCAATCACAGGCCACAGCTCCACCTCAGCCTTAATGGGCTTTTAATTACTAGACACTAAATCACGAGCTGCAAACTCAAGTATCTGCTTCTATCTTGTTCACTGACATTTTTGCAATTATCCCACACAATCTATACATTTTTAACAATTTCACATCCACAATTCTGTATTTCACAACACTAGACAGACCTTTTAATGAAATAGAAGGCAAACACTGCTGTTATATGTGAATGAGGGCTGCACCAAAATAGACAAGGACCTCCATTAACCTCATGAATGACACTTAAGTTTTCACTGTAAAAAGGTTGCTGTAAAAGTACTGATTTACAGTATTAGCACTGCTTTTTAATTAAAGTTAATCTCATTTACTTCAAAGAGAAATGGCATTTTTTTAAATGGCAGTGCATTGTGCATCTCTCAACCCCAAACAATCACAACTACCAACGAACATTTGGCTTTATAACGTGCTTTTCTTTTTCTTTTTTTTACTGTTGTATATTTACTTACTATAAATTTGTTCATAAACTGCACATTCAGTTTCTGACCCCCGAGCTACAACACTCTACACACATTATTCTAGAAAACCAGGACATCACCAAAGTCCTTAGAATTCATCCCACGAGGACCATCAGCATCCGTACCAAACTTCATCCATCCAATATGTGTCAAGATATTTCAGATTTTTTTATTGCACCGACTATTTCGTGTCAAAATGGCTGCTGTGAAAAAAAGGTCGTTTGAGTTCCCCACAAATATGCAATCATTTCCTTTCACATTTCTTCTTACTTGTGCTAAACAGGTTTCCTCCCGGTAATGTCTGTTTATTTAAGGTACTGATCACGTTACAGTTTTGCTGCTTCACTGACTCACACAAGCATTTTAAACACTACATCTCCTTCATTTTTGACACTGCTTGCAGTAGTGCTTCAAAATAACCTAAGATATCTGTCTTTTCTGGTGATTTCAGCTCAACTGACTAAATTATTTTGCTCCACAAGCTTAATATAGTTCAGTTCATGCTACTGAATAAGCACCTGATATGGTTCCACTCGCCTTAATTGTGATTTTGTTTCTTTGAAAAGTCAATTTATTAATTTAGCTGGACATTTTTGTCAGAATACCTCAGTAATTTCGTGAATGTTGGGCTTGTCTCCGGTGCAAAGCGGGGTCAGTACAGCTCGATAAGAGGAGGCAACACATTAGATCTTCAAGGAAATTTTTATTTTTTCTTTTTTTTTGTAAAGGCAAAATTGGTCCAGTGAAGGCTACATATATGTCTTGACGTTTGAAATGTTTTTTGATACTAAATAAATACTAGCAAGAGGTGCAAGGTTTTCATTTGATATAAACCCGAGACTTTGATTGGAACGTCCTCATAATTACCAAACACAGAATAGTATTGCAATAATTTTATGTCCTGAAAGCATCAAGTGTAAGCTTCAAGTCTTCATCATGTATTCATTGCTGTCACCTCTGTTCATTTTGCTTTACTGCTTGTTTGCTAACCATTTTAACTTGTTCTCAGCCACTAGATGTTGTTCACTGAGTGGTTAGTGGGAAACAGGTGGCACCTATAAATGACTTCTTCCAATAAATATCCTAATAATCAACATCGAACCACCTTGTAATCCTGCGATTACAAATTAACCCCATGATATCACCTTAACTAGACAGTATGATGGCCAATGGCTACATATTGATGCTGCAGTTTAACCTTTAAATGCAGTGCTTTCTACTGAGAATGGGTTCAGTTGTTTCGTCATCGTACACGGTGGAAGTTTTTCTTGCGTTTGAAGCCACAGTTGAGAATGTAACAAGTGCCACTTCCTGCTAATTGAATGAGTAAACAAATTAAACTGACCAATGAGTGGAATGCAAAGCTATGAACTCCCACAATCCCTCAGCGGCCTCCCAAATTCTGGAGGTCAAAGGTCAAATAGTTTGCTACAGTCACCTGAGGTCAGAGGTCTCGGGGAGCCGACCATCAGTGACCAAACTACAAGCTACAGTACAACAACACATTCATTTTAAAGGTTCACAATGACTTTATTTGTCATCTCTGAGTATCACACTGACAATAGATTTACAAATGACTTTTTTTTTTTTTTTTCAAAATACTTTAAATTTAGTTTCATAGTCAGGCAGATATTTCTGTTACATGTCTTTCATTTTCTATTTACTCTGTAAAAACATGGAGGTCAGGCAGTCAAATGTTTCCCAAAGGGATGTTAGAAATAACTTTCAGCACACGTATTTACTCAACCCCTGTAATTATTCCATCCACTTCATCACATTACTATAAAATCTACATTTTTATTCTGTTTAAACTGATTCAAAGGAAATTCATTTAGACGTTTAAAATTTTTGGGAACTGTGGTAATGTGCCATAAAGCTAAATATACAACTGCAACAAAATGGTGGCAATGAAATACAACAAAAAATAACTTAAACATATTCTTTTGAAAAACTTACCATAAATTTTGACCCATCTCACTGAATTAGCAAAGTTCATTTTGGTTTAATGCACCCCAGCTGCTCCTTTTTGTCGTGTGTGAGGAGTGACGGTTCTGTTTGTTTGTTTCTCTTTGTTTTTATGTTTCTAAATGTCTGTAGTAATGTGATGTTCGTAACTTTGACAACTTTATACTGTCATTCTTTAGTTCATTCTTTAGTTCAATGCTGACTTGAACAATTTGATTGCAGGAACAATTTTGTTTTTTTTTTTTCTTTTTTTGGTTTTATTGCATCTTACTTTGCTATCTGAGTGTTTTGTCCTGAGGTTTTCCAAAATTTAAGACAACAGATTTATTTAGTTGTCAACAACACTGTCTCCTTGAAGATTCTGTTATCTATGTAGCTGCAGCCTAAATTATGGTTCACAGAACACCTTTTTTTTTTTTTTTTAACCGTTGACATCTTTATTCATGCTGGTTAGATTGATTAAAGTAACTGTTAATGGTTTAAAGCCAGTCTTTTCAGGAGCTTGTTAATAATTTGGCTTGTTTTAAAAGTTATTTACTAATTTTTAGTCCTTGATTTTACAGTGCAATCTTAAATTGAGCATTAAAAAATCTTTTTTCAAGATTTCTTGTCAAGTAAAATTTACTGGCTGCATGGACAGAGAAGGAGTTTGCATGTTCTCCACGTGCAGTGTGGGTTCTCTCCAGGTTCTCTGGCTTCCTCCCACAGGCCAAAAAAAAACATGTTGAGGTTAATTGGTGATTCTAAATTGTCTGTAGGTGTGAATGTGAGTGTGCTTGGTTGTCTGTCTCTAAGTGTAGCCCTGTGATAGACTGGTGACCTGTCCAGGGTGTCCCCTGCCTTCGCCCTGAGTCAGCTGGGACAGACTCCAGTCCCGCCTCCCCCCGCGACCCTAGTGAGGATTAAGTGGTGTATAGACAATGGATGGAAATTCATTAATTAAATACATCGTCAGTCAATGTTCTGAAAACAATATCTTGCAACTTTGCATTCATCTTCATTTTAAAAAATCATTGTTATGCTGATGAACAGCTGATTTAAACATGTTGGCCACATTACTGCTGCTTATTGCTAATTAAACTAGAAATAAGTAACTGACACCATTTCTTTAGTCTGCTGCAGTGATGTCATGTCACATGGTGAATGAAAAGACCCCACTGAGTAAAGATGGTGTTACAAGTTTCTCCAAATGCATTTACTGTTTCAAATTAGTGGAACACATGCAATTCCTAGGAAACAGGCATGTGAGTTTTCACAGCACTCTCACAACAGGAGCACCACACCCACAGCAAGCAGTGAAGTCCACGGGATTCCCAACCAGCAAAATGTTTGATTACATCGTGTATAAACGCGATCAACAGCGATGCGGGAAAGTTTGTGGTCAGTTGCGCCAATTTATTTCGCCTGCTCACACAAACATTTGGTCCCTTATAATTAAGTCTCTAGCTGACAGATCATTACGGCCTGAGACTGAGCCAAAGTACCGTATTTTACATGTGAAATGTTCGTTTTAGGAATTGGCAATACATTTTTACTTACATTAGATTATTCTCATGGAGCACTTGTGCCACGGCAAAGCGTTATGTTTTGGTAATATCACACCATTTGTTATGTCAGTCTATTTCCTTTTTACATTTTTGAGCTCATACATGTTATTCTAATTAGCTCAAATATGATGTTTGCCTGTACTGAAGCTAAATCAGGCAACATGCAGGCTAAATGTTGAGAAACTTTTAATGAGTAATAAGTTGCGTGACTGTGAGAAACTGCTACACAAGACATGGACTGTAAATAAACTTTACAGATGAAAAAAAAAGAAAAGGTTGTTCACACATTGACGTTGCGACTAGGAATTCTTTTTGCAGCACGCTAATAATCCTTTGCACTGATTTTTGTCATTCTAGCACTCGACTGTCCTTTTGGATGACCCCTGCAATAACCAGAAACACCTGTTGCCCACCACAAGTGGCCCAGAGAAGCTATTAAAACCCAAAATATCTTCCATTGAAGTGCAGCTCAGCTCATCTCACAGGCACCATTCAATGTTCGGCCTGCGTGTATTATGGAACTGGGACCGCCAAGGTTCAATGAGGAATTTTCAATCAGGAATGTTTGGCATCCTCTCTGCTGTCACTAACAGGTTTGATGGATTTGAAGGAAGGTTATCAGAAGAATCAGGTGTTTGATGCTCTTCACATGAAATTATTTTACAGCAGAAAAAACACTAAAAGGGTTCAAAGTTAAAAATCATTTCAGCCCAAGTCAAATCCCATTCAAATGCTTCAAAGAGACCATGTGCTAGTAACATGTGTTGTAACAGTTATGACAAGAGCAAAGAGGGAAGTCGGGTGTTGTTGTCATAGTGTGACTAAGTCCATGTAGGGAGGAGGTCAGAGTTGATGGCTGGG